GTCCGAGCCGGTCTCCATGCCTGGGGTAGTGCGGAGGGCGCCTCAAGGAGGTGGCGGCCAAGGAGCGCGGTGTCCCGCTGGCCGGGCCCGTGAAGCCGCGCGCTTCAGTCGGTGAGCTGAGCCGGGCTGCCCCTGCCGGGGGAGATCCTCGAGGCGGGGCCGAAGCTCGGGTTTTAAAGGTCTGTTGCTGTCACGTTGGCGGGGCCCGACCTGAAGAAACACGCCTGTCCAGAGGAAGAGACGTGGACTCGGGAAAGTAGAGCCGGGTTCGGAGTCGGCGGGAGGAAGCCCCGCCCTGCGCCTCCCGCCGAACTTCTCAGGCCCGGCGCTGACTCAGGCCCGGGCGAGCCCCGGCGCCGCGAACGGCCCGCGCAGGCCGCAGGGAGGTGTAGGTTGCAGATGCCCTTAGGGACCAGGGCTGCGGAATGAAGGAAATTCGCTAAGTTACGTGTTCCGGAGGAACTGTATACGCTTATAGGAGCCATTAAATTTTTGTTTATACGTTCTTGGCAACCTGAATGACTTATTTTTGATATCGATTAACTTTTTTCCTTCAGTTTGTCCATGAGGTCATGCACAATGGAAAATGTAATCCCATGCACTTGCAAAATGGAATTCGAATTCAGGGATTGCATAATTGCTGTACTTAAGTGATGGGTACTGTCATAACAAATTAGGTCCAAGATCAGATACTGGGTTTTTTTGTTTTTTAATAAGAGTAAGAAATCAAGATCCTAAATGAATTGGAATAGCATTTACTCCTAAAATGGAAATCTCCAAATCCCTGAAAAATGTCTTGAAAATTTAATATGTCATTCCAGATGTAACAAAGTGCAAGATACTTACACAACACTAAAGATATACTCATTTCCTGTGTTGTTTTTATGGCAAAAATTTACATTATCTTTGTAAACAATACAAAGACTAGGAATATCATAAAATTAAAAATGAAAAGAGTCCTTCATCCCAGCCCCACCATCACCGAAGATAAATATATGAAAAATAGTTAAGTGAGCATCCTACAAGAACTTGTTTATGCAAACATTATGTGCAGTCCAATTTACAACTTTGATGGGGCCTGGATTCCATATCAGTTTTCCCCATATCCCATAAACATTTTCACTGTTAATTTTAAAACTACAATACTGAACTCTGTGCATGGACCCAACCCTATAATCCCAGTGACTCAGGAGACGAGGGAGGAGGACTGCAAGTTTACTGCAAGTCAACCTCAGCAATGTAGCAAGAGCCTAAGCAATTTGGTGAGACCCTGTCACAATTTTTTTAAAAAGGATTGAGAATGTGGCTCAGTGAAAAATTCCCTTTTTTAATGCTTCTGATCACTACTGTTTAAAGCTCTAAAGTTTATTAGAGTTGCTTCTCACTTCAAACTTATTATATCTTAGTTTTCCCATTAAATAGCTCCATAGTCATATGAAGTGTTTTGGCACTGAATAACCGTCTATCTAGAATTCAACTTTCAAAAACAGACAAGGGCTGGGGGCAGCTCAATGGAAGCCTAACACGCGAGAGGTGCTGGCTTTGATCCCCAACACTAAGGAAAAAAAGCAAAAACAGATGAGAAATTGGGATAAGAGGCAAATGGGGACCAGAAAAAAAGGCCACTGAGAAACTGAAATAAGATATCTTGAAGTCTTATTTAGTTAGGTCTTGCCAGATACAGTGGTGCACATCTGTAATCCCAGTGACTCTGAAGGCTGAGGCAGGAGAATGGTAAATTCAAGGCCAGCCTCAGCAACTTAGACAGCCCCTGTTTCAAAATAATAAGTAAAAAGGCCTACGGATGAGATTCCGTGGTTGAGGGTCCCGATAGTAAAAAAGAAAATAATAAAGTCAGTTGGATGCAATGGTGCACCCCTCTACTCCGGATGCTGAAGGGAAAGGATCACAAATTCAAGGTCAACATGGACAAATTAGGCCCTTTCTCAAAATTTTTAGAATGTCAAGGGACTGGGCATATAGTTCAGGGGAGAGCACTCACCTAGTATATGCAAGATCCTGGGTTCAAACTAGCAAGAAAGAAGGAAGGAAGAAAAGAAAGAAGTAAAATTATATCTTATTATATCAGCATCAAAAAACCAAGCCAGACAGCCACATGCCTGATGCTTGTAGTCCCTGCTACTCAGAAGGTGGAGGTAAAAGGATTTTTTGAACCCAGAAGTTCCAGGTCAGCATGGATGACATACAGGACCCTGTCTCTTAAAAAAAAAAAAAATTAAAAAGTATGCTGAGTTAGATCCCCAGCACTACAAAAAAGAAAAGAAGAAAATATGGAGTATATTTTAACAAGCTTTTCATCTACAGTGGTTAAAAATAAGCAATTTTAGCTGCCTAAAAGGATCAGTCGTCAATTTTCTAGAAAATTAAATTATCCCAATTGACCGAATTATCCATTCCCAAAGAGTTCCAGAGCAGCCAAAATTCCGTATAAATAAGTCTCATATGTTATTTGTTTTGTTTACTGAAAAATCCAGAGACTAGTTCCAACTTGCCCACGTAGTTCACACTTAGGATCTTCATCTCTTCTTTTCAGTTTTTTTTTTTTTTTTTGAGGTGCTAGGGATGGTAGAGTGCAAGGCAAGCACTCTACCAACTGAGCTATATCCCCAGTTCCCTCATTAATTTATTAAAGACATATTTCACTATACATAAAACCCCAGCACACCTCAAGACACTTCGATTTTTAAAATCACACTCAGAAACATCTATTTATGGTCTCTAATCATGATAGAAAATCCTTGTATTGTTTGACTCTAATTCCTGTGAATTTTGACTATATTTTATTTTTTTAATACCTTTATTTTCTTTATTTGATGCTGAGGATCGAACCTAGCACCTCGCACACGCTAGGCAAGCGCTCTCTACAGCTGAGCCACAACCCCTGCCCCTTGACTATATTTTAGATCCGCATCATCTTCAGTGTTTTTCTTCTTTTCTTCTTTTTGTTTTCTGGTCCATGTGTCCTCTCCTAAGTATTACTTGTTCCAATTTTCATCTCAACTCCAGAGATGGCATTGAATTCTTTCCAGAGCACTTTCAAGTACTTTGCAATATGTTTCTGTCTTTCAGACATTGCCAATCAATTCCCAATCTTGGGCAAAATTCAGTTTATTTTTCCTCTCAAATATCATTGGAAAAGAGGCAGAAAGCCTACCTGGTCCAACATAAAATGAAATCATGCATGTTAGAAAATGAAATAGTATAGTCTTCCCTCTTTCAAAGATTTATCCCTATACCTGAATATCCTTTCTCCTCTGATTTCCTTTAGACAGTGACTTTAAAATTTCTTGTTCACCTAATTCCAAGAGTTTTGATAAATAATACAACCTATTCTTGCATTTATAGATTGGCATTTAAAATTTTCCTCATGACTTGAAAATTTTTGACAACAAATTCTGTTCTAAATATTATCTTTTTACAATCAAGGCTCTTTTAGCTGGGTGAGATAGCACATGCCTGTAATCCCAGTGACGCTGGAGGCTAAGGCAGCAGGATTTCAAGTTCAAAGCCAGCCTCAGCAAAAGTGAGGTGCTGAGGAACTAAGTGAGACCCTGTCTCTAAATAAAATACAAAACAAGGCTGGGGATGTGGCTCAGTGGTCAAGTGTCCCTGAGTTTGGGTACGAGGTGGTACTAAAAA